AACTAAATCTGAAAGCTACAAGTAATTTTGTTGAATGAATTAAATAGATCCTGTAACAGCAAAAAGAATAAACTGAATAAAAACATTTTATTTTAATGTGGACGTTAAGAAGAAAGTTAAGAAGATGAAATCTCACCAATCTGTTTTCATCAAACACCTCAAAGAGCAGCCTGTGGTTCTGCGGGCACACCTATGTTTGCAACAACAAAAAAAAACAGAGATTTTACTGCAATCATCCATTTGCTACACAAATCCAATTCTAATGTCTAGTACTCTGCAAAACTTTAAAGTACCCTTATTTTTTTTTTTACTTTTACTTCCAAAGAGTGAGACATTCTTGTACTCTTTTTAAGTGGTCTTGATCAAAAGTCTTCCAGGTTTTCTGAATGTCTTTTTTTTTTTTGCTGCCATTTCACTCCAGTCTTTGTACACAGCATAATATAATATAACAGCATATTGTGCAGTGTGTGCCTGAAAAAAAGCCAAATAGAAAAGTTTCAGGCTTAAAAATGATCTGCAGCAGATGAAGTGTATCAGAATGTTATGGATTTTGGAAAAGGGAAAAAAAACACAGCAAAGATCTAAGACAGGAGCTGAGAGACGGACCATCTTCCAGCTGATTGAATACGTTTTCAGCTCTTTAGAAATATCTTGAGGGCGCATATGTTTATCAAATTGTGTTATGTTTGGTCTACTTTTTTAGATTCAGCTAAAGAAAAACAGACATATTTTGTCTTTAGGTCAGGCGGTTAGTCAAAAAGTGCAAAAACATCCTCTAGAAAATGCTTCCTTGTCAAGTTGACTGTTATGATTCATCCTTGTTCATCCTTTCGGTTTTGGAGCTTTTTTTATTCTTGAATTATCAGAAATGGGAATAAAATGTACTGACAAAGACAAAACACAAGATTACTTTAAAAATAGTCAAGAAATAGATTGAAAAATAATAAAAACATGTCCAAAAAAAGACATTCAGAAAGCCTAATGAAATATTTCTAAAGATGTTAAAAAATGTAAAAAATATACTTTCTTGGAATGAGTTATATAAAAAAATTAAAAAAAAAGAGTGATGGCTTTTAGGACAATGCTGTACACGTACAAACTATTTTGGATATATTCGTAATTTCAAGAAATTATCAACTTAAAGGACATAACATGAATGAGTGGCTAACATGAACTGTAAAACAACATTAGGAGGAACCACTCAGCAGAACTGAACTATAACCAAAGATTACCGTATTTTCCGTCATACACGTCGCACCGCCCTGTAAGTCAAATCAGTCCAAATATGTCTAATAAAATGGAAAAATCCATAAACGCATCGCTTCACTGTATATGTCGCAACTATTATGCGTCACCGCTGATGTGTTGCGTATGTTACGCGTCACCACTGACAACCCGGAAATGTGAGCCAGTGTTGTGCCAATTATCAATTGGCTGCCAAATGGCGGCCGAGGGAGCATGCACGGGAGTATTTTTGAAGAATTTAACAAGATTAACACTTAAAAACAATTATTTGTTTGCTTGAAATTATAGCAAAGGTGTGTCTCAGTCTAACGTTTCCTCAATAAATGCATTTTGACGGTCAAATCAGCTGTATTTTCAAACGTTGATATGCAGAAACAGGAATGCGCAAAGGATGACTCGCTGTGCATTTCTTCGAAATTTAACAAGACAAGCACAGAAAACAATTGTTTGCTCAACATTATAGCAAAGGGGTGTCTCAGTTGAACTTTTACTTAATAAATGCACTTAATGGTCAAATTAGCTGCATTTCACCAGGGCGGCGCAGCGCAATGAAGCCGATTTGACGGTTGCTCCAGGCAAGCTGGACAAAGGTGGCTTGAATGGCAAGCCGATTGTGTCATTAATAGCCACTTTTTGCCTATTACATGACACAACGGCATGCCATACTACTCGAGTGCCATCTAGTGGCTGAAA